CTTTTAGCGTCATCGTGGTATGCTGCACTTTTTTGTTTTTAGTACACGAGTAATCGCATATTACAAACAGGGGTATCAGGAAACATGCTAGACAAAATAATCATGTCCAGTCCTAGCTGGAATTGCATGTCTATCTGTATGTACTTGCTAGACATGTGAGTGACGATTGAAGGTAAAGATTGAAATGTGTTTGTAGTTTAGTGTTTGAAGTGTTTAGATTTAGTGTTTGTAGTTTAGCTTAAGTTAATAGCTAGATGAGTAGCGTGCTGGTTTTCTGTTAGCGTAGACAACAATAGATTGTGTAACACATGGAGCTGTGCTGGGGTTTAAAGATGTTGTATGCATATAGGTGTGTAATAATGCTATACAGGCTAAACATGCTATCTGTGTGCATATTCTTTCAGGCATGACGATGGTTAGATAGGCATGTGAAACAGAAGAACTGCTACTTCTCATTTTGTTCGTCATAGGAGCCATTAAAATAACCCAAGAGTGAAACTGCAAAAACAAACAAAACAAAAACAAAAAAACGGAATAAACATGTCCCTCTTACGAGGTCTTCGAGGTCAAAAGAAGGATGGTGGCAATGTCCTGGTGCCGAGATGTTGTAGGTTGTGAATTGCTCTCCATTCAGCCCACGCCAGTCAGAAACAGTCCCGGTAACCATTTATAGCATGTAAAAGGGGGCCTCTGCCCCGGTCTCCTCCATCCGCTTGTCGGAGCTCCGAATCTCTTTGACACTCTGCGTGGGTTTGGGAGAGGACTCTTCGTAGCTTTTGTGCTTGGCGTTGGTGGAGGCTTGAGTGAGGGCTTGGGTGAGACCGGCTTCGGTCCATGTGGGAGTTTCGTGGTGGTCCGGGGTATGCATTGTGCGGGTGTCGGTGAGGTGTCGTCGCACTGTATCATTCTACCCCATTGGCCCCAGGCCTCTGCGGGGGCACCTGTGTAGTTCCCAGCTCTTCGCTCCCTCTTGGTTCCGCAGGCGGTGTCCCAGCTGGCAGTATGCTTGGTTTAAAGGGCAAGGTTGTTCCCGCCGGTGGCGTGTAGCTTGTATCCAGGCTGTCCTCCGTTTAGTTTTCTGTTTAGGCGAGCAGGTACTGCGTTTCACAGGACGTGGACGGGCTGTGATTTGGCGGGCTTTCCTCCCAGGAAGCGCTGAGTAGGCTGTGGAGATCATAGCTGTGCAGGGCTGGAGCCTCTGTGCTCTATCTTCTCTGCTTTTCTCTGCGGTCAGCACTTGTCTGTGTTCGAGCTTCAGCCAGAAGGCATGAAAGAGCTCATCTAGCCGTTTTTCAAGAGGTTCCTGTGGGTCTCCAGTATGTTTTATTGGTACTATGTTCGCCAACTTTGCTTGTGTGCTTGCCGTGTGCCTCTTGCCGCCATCTTGGACTCGCCATGCGAGGAGCTGTCTCTGTGGGGTATTGGTACAGGCTTGGTAGGCTGTGTCAGTTGGCAGCCCTGGTGTCTAGTGTGGACCGGGATGACCCCCGCCGGTCCTGGGGGGGCGGAGAGGGAGAGAGGCGGGTGCGCCGAGGGTTCTATGCACGGCTGTGTCTTCGAGGAGAGCGGTGTTCAACACGTCCTTCCAGCTCGGCGGTTAGGCTCCGCCCCCTCATTTCTCTTCTGTACCCCCATTTTTATGACAAAAACCAATAAAACTGGAATAAAAAAAAAATGTAACCGCTTTTCTCCTCAACACTAATGGACAGTTCCTGAATATTATTGATGCTGCAACACAAGAACAATGTTCTGCCATTTACTCCATAACTCATAGGCACAGTAAATCTCCCCCTCTCTTTCCTGTCTTATCTTACTTCAGCTGTTTTTTTTTTTTTTATCTCTATTATCCAGTAACAATTATTGCTTTGTTTTTTGTTTT